TGTATATGTGTGTGCGCATACATGTGTGCTTATGTGAGGGGGGACAGAGAGATAGAGAGAGACATATAGAGAGACAGACAGAGATGGAGAGAGAGAGAGGGGGGAAGAGAAAGAGATTGGAACTACAAAGTCTTGTAAAGAAAAACAAAAAAGATTCTGAGTTCTTTAAAAGATCAATGAACATATCTTTGAGAAAAAATGTTAATTCCTTACATCAAATAAAATGAAAAAAAAAATGTTAACAGAAGAAAACTTTATGACTATGATGAACTCAGTGTAACAGAATTGAAGACTTACAGGCCTGAAAGTAACTCTGAAGGAGCAGGCTTTGAGTGGTGGGATGTCTAGGGTGTCCGGACTCACAGAGAAGATGCGGTTTGAATCTGAAGTAGAAGATAACACATGTACGCCTAGTATTAGCATTTATTGTTATCCAGCTTCAAGGTGTTAATTAATATGACACAGAATACGCAGAATAAACCAATGACTATGAACATGCCAAGGCTTCGAAAAAAAACAAAATATGTGATTTTCAAACAAATTGCATAAATTAAAGAATATATTCTAATGGCCTACATAATTTTTTCCAAGAGCAATCATGAGCACAACATTTTTAGATTATTACATTATACCATCTTTTAAGTCCTACCATGATTATTTACATTATCATCAATGACAAATGCTACACATTTATACGGAGAATGCTTAAAATTAAAACTTATATAAACAGAAACAAATAGCAAATTTAGAAAATAAATGCAAGAGTATGACTGAAAGAGAAATGAATTCTAGCAAAACAAGAAATCATAACTTTCGTTAACAAAATTTGAATGGCTTGACATTATTCTTTTAACAAAATGCCTGACAAGGTTAGCCACGTACTTCCCATCCACTGGACTGTGACTTTTCCCTTTGTGTGATTTGTGACGTTCACAGTCTGCAAAACAAAGCATCAATAAGCAAGGGGTAATATTTTTCTTCAAATGTCAACACTTTGTCCTAAATCTCATTCATTCATGCGGAAGAAAAAGAGATGAAGAAGAAATTTGCAATTCACCATTCTCTAAAAGCCTTTGATAGAAAAACAAAATGCAGAGTCTATGTCGTATGTTATGCAAATAGTTTAAATAACAGCCTTTTGCCTGCATACAGCATAGTCTGCTATTTCAAACACAAAATGTACTCATCCATCAAATGGTTTTTCTAAAACAATTGTTTTGAATGATAGACAGATTGCATGAAAAGATAGAAAAAATGTATGCCTGTTACAAAATGGAAGACAAAACACCAGTTACAGTATGTGCCCACACGCTATGTGATACATGCTCATATGTACCTAATTCAAACATATACCTTACCTTATCAACAGGAAGCTTCAGAGTCTGGATATTACCGAAATCCAAAACATTCACATCTGTGCTCACATGAGGAACCACACTCTGTAATTTAAAAATTAAATTAATAAGTAAATAAATTACAGTTTTATTGATGTCAGAAAGACAATTTGGTTTACAATGGCTAACATACGTACATACATAAATACGTAATTATAAATACATACATAAATACATAATTATAAATACATACATAAATAAAAACACAAATACACAATAATATCATTACAATACAGAACAGTTTCACAACCATGCCATTGCTGGTCGCTACTGTGCAGCGCCCTGGTTTTTTTGCTAGGTTTGTCATGACTTGCAGAAAGACACACTCCAGTGACCACCCACTTAAACCCTGTGTCACCGACACTTGCGTGACATTACTTGAGTCTAAACTCACTGCTCACTTACCCACTGGAGCCCTCAATTAAGACCAAAGTAAATAAATACAATCTTCATCACAAGATAAAAACAAGAGGAAAGCCGGAGAAGAAAGTTCAAGACAAAAAAGATGTCTGGAGAGATGTTAGCAGCTTGTGTGTCTCTGGGGGGGTGGTCAAGGCAGATTATCATGAAACAACAGACAATACTATTAAAGTAGAAAAGAGACTGAAACAAACCTTAGAACTGTTCTAAGCCAAGAAAGAAACATTTTCCAAATGAGATTTTAAATTTTTATTCATTCTTTTAACACTTTATCTCCGTGGGGGGTAAACTCACTATGCCGAGGCCCATTTGTGGTACAAAATCTAAAAATGACGAAAACGTCACTAAATTGGTAATTAAATCAAAACAAATGAACCTATTTCGATAGTTCTTCATCTAAAGAATGAAATCCCGATAAAAGAGACCTGTTTTCAGCAATTGCAGAAAAGTAATTTGATGTTGAAGTTGTCGTAAAGGAATGTGTCCGAGCCGCTTTCCAGCTCACCGGCACAGCAGTTCTGACCGCGAGCCACTGGGAGTGGCTTGCCGGAGATAAAGGGTCAACAACTGTACCTACATTACATATCTTTTCTCTTTTCTTCCTTTTTTTCAACATTATAAACTTGAATTTCCACGAAATATTTCTCAAGCATATGCAACCGTCACCACAGCATTAATTAATAAACTACAATTTTAAAAGTTTTTTTAAAAAACATCAAAGAAACATGAAGAATTGTGAAAAAACTTACCACAACATCAGAGTGGAACCCATCATTGAAGTATTCATCCACAGATGGGATCTCTCTCAGAGACGGGTTTGGTGCAAGGCCAGCCTGTGGTCAGACGTTTATTAATAAATCTAAAATAAGTCTGCTTTATTTATTCTTTATTTACTCAGTGCAAACACTGAGATGATTAACATACTAAAATCAGTGTTGGAGAAGATGTACGTAAAAACCTTTCAGTAAAATACAGTAAGAATCGTTGTTGATTTACTTACATTCTGAGCAGACTCCATAGTAGATCCAAGCTATTCTAAATATTTCAGATGTACCAAAATGTCCTTTCTTTCTTTTAGGTCAAAATAAATGTTTTCAAACTTAGTTTCACAATCAAAACTATTTCTTAAAACCTTATCGGGAGAAAAAAAAATATTTCTACATACATCTGTTCAAAAATCAACACACACGCACATACACACACACATACACACACACACACATGCACACACACACACACACACACACACACACACACACACAGGGGGGCTCTTGTGGCACCCCTCATTCAAAAGGTTCCACCTGGATTCGAATCTGGATAGAGACGGAACTCCTTTCCTGCTCTCTAATAATGTTCTGTCATCTGTTTTGTCTGCACTTTCTGCCCCCACCCCCTCACCTCCTTTTCCCTCTCCTCTGGGCTCCTGACTCTTTCTGCAGCCTTTCTACTGCTACTTCTTGGCTACTTCTTACTGCTGTCTTTCAGCTACACCCCTTGTCTTATGGTAGGTAAAATCAAATACCTAGCCTTCTCGGAGAAGAGCAAAAAATCTCAGAGGTCCTATGTGCAAGTTGCGCACATCTAAGATCCCTTGATGGTCCTAAATCAATAATAGTAGGCTTCGGCCACCACCCGAGCAAAATTCTAAATTTCATTCCAAACTAAAAATGTTTAATGTGTCCCACACGCTCATATGAGCTTATGCAATTGCAAGCATCGAAAAAGACTTACCACACACAAACACACACACACACACACACACATGCACACGCACACTTACATACACACACACACACACACACACACACACACACACACGCACACACACATACACACACACAAACACACACACAATCACACACATTAAACGTAAAACATGCATACAAGCACACACAAAGTGGACAAGCAAGTCACTGACCTTATCTTCATCTTTGACAGGCTCTAGGCATCCGTTCTTATCCACATCCAGCCTGCCAGCATTCAGCAGTTCATTCAGTTGCTGGAGAAAATAAAAGAGGATGTGACAAATCCAAGTGTTAACCGAGTTCAGAACTTTAATTCACACAAAGAAGTAGACTCTAAGAACCCAAAAATGGAAAGAAATGTTTATTTTTCATATGTTTAGCCATCGGCCAATCTGAAAATGATTTTAAAGATATCATTTAATAAAAAATATCTCTGTGACATTGACATATAAGGCTGTCTTTTCACTTTCTCTCTTTCATAAGAAGAGCATTGTTTATGTGAATATAGAGCAGCCAATTACTAGAAAACAACAAATTAATGCAAAAAAAGAAGCAATACATATAGACAGACAAAGATAAAAGAACGCAAGAAAAGAAAAAAAAAATCTTTTAACTAGGTAGTGAGAGGGAACACTCAAGGAAGAACAAAGAAAATCGTATCCCATTTTGACTCAAACCTTTACTTCTAGGAGACAGCCAAGTTTCTAACAAACTGTTTCACAGCAAATCATTCAATAACAACAATAATAAATAATAAATTGCATTTATATAGCGCATTTCCACAAAGAAGTGCTCAATGTGCTGTATAATAATACAAAGAACGTATGCCACACACAAAAGTACTCCTCTTTCTCTCTCTCAATGCATGCATAAGAGCAACTGGTCACAGTTCTCCCCCACAATGCAACTCACCTCAGGTGCAATGACAGATAAGCCCCTCTCCACATGGGTCAGGTAGCGAGATACATGCTCATATTTCAACACGGCCGGCTTGACTGTCTCTGAGTGGCATGTACCCAGCAGATCCAAGTACAGAGGTGGCTGATGAAAAAAACACAGATTTTATCATCATCGTCATCATTATCATCTTCGTCATCATCATCATCATCATCATCATCATCATCATCATCATCATCACCATCATCATCATCATCATCACCATCACCATCATCATCATCATCATCATCATTATCATCATCATCATCATTTTTTGGTAAGCAAGGTAGGAGGGAGAGTTTTGTTTTAATTTTGGACAAAAATAAAATAACAATAAAAAATGTTTAAATTTATTTAATAGCTCAACGTTTCGCCCCGTGGGCTTCCTCAGGAGCAACTCATCATCATCATCATCATCATCATCATCATCATCATCATCATCATCATCATCATCATTGTATAAAGAAGGTATTAAAACAGTTAAGACCTTGTTGTATTTCCAGAAAATATATATTTTTCACAGTTCAACGTTTCGCCAATAAGGCTTCATCAGGAACATAGTATTTGAGAAAAAAATAAATAAATGAGTGATGACGCCACAGCAACAAAGTGTTCACTATAAGCTACGTATTGTTGTGATTTGGACAATATCGGCAATATCTTCATCATCATCATCATATACACAGGCTATAAAAACTAAAGTGCGCACATAAATGTCTGAATATTTAAAGGAGCGGTGAGTACAAATCGCCGGAGAGAAGGGAACACTAAAGCCAGAAGTGGTAGAGAGAGAGAGGGGGGGGGGGGGGGGGGAAAGGTGCGTGGAAGTAAGGAATATAATAACAGAAGGGTGCGGTGAACACAAATCGGAAAGACCAGAGAAAGAGAAACACGAGGGCCAGAGGTGGCAGAGAGAGGGAAAGGAAAAGAGGGAGAGAGAGAGAGAGAGAGAGAGAGAGAGAGAGAGAGAGAGAGAGAGAGAGAGAGAGAGAGAGAGAGAGAGAGAGAGAGAGAGAGCAAGAAAGAGAGAGAGGGGGGGGAACATATGCATGGAGGTAAGGAATATAATAACGGAAGGGTGCGGTGAACACAATCAATGAGTCGAAAAGGCTAGAGGAGGGGAAACACGAAGGCAAAAAGTGGAGAGAGAGAGAGAGAGAGAGAGAGAGAACTAGTACATGGAGGTAGGGAATATAACAGAAAGGCAGGGCCAAAGGGAGGGGGTTGCAGGAACATAAGGGGTGATTAGTACGTTACGTTGTAAATTTTAGGTCCTTAAAATGGGGCTCGTCGATGTTAAGGCCAGTGAGAATTTTGTGAGACCCCAAGTCATCATCATCATCATCATCATCATCATCACCATTGCTGCTTCTATTACACTGTCACATTTGTAGCAGCTTCTGCTACTGTTTTTAGCTTTATAAACAGCAGCATCAGAAATAGTGACAGCTATTATGACATACTTATGACTAGAATTATCAAAATCATTCCCCATCATATATTCCTTAAGTAGTGTTGGAATGGGTACCACATAACAGTTTTTATAATTATTATTTCTATTATTACCATGCTAAATATAATCCCCATGGCTAGCGAATATGGATTTTGTATTAAGAAAAAAATACCACAACTTTAAAACTATACAGTCTCTAGCAGTCAATGATAGTGTGTAAGCAAAGAAAATACTACAACTCTGAAACTGAACAGTCTCTATAGTGATAGTGTGTACATGGTTGTTCACTACGCAAAGAAAATACCACAACTCTGAAACTATACAGTCTCTAGCTCTCAATGATAGTGTGTACATGGTTGTGCACTAAGCAAAGAAAATACCACAACTCTGAAATTATACAGTCTCTATAGTGATAGTGTGTACAAGGTTGCTCACTAAGCAAAGAAAATACCACAACTCTGAAACTATACAGTCTTTAAAGTGGTATCGTGTTCCTGGTTGTGCAGTAAGAAAAGAAAATACCACAACTCTGAAATTATACAGTCTCTATAGTGATATCAAGTACATGGTTATACACTAAGCAAAGAAAATACCACAACTCTAAAACTATACAGTCCCCATAGTGATTGTGTGTAATATTTGTATACTAAGCAAAGAAAATACTACAACTCTGAAATTATACAGTCTCTATAGTAATAACGAGTACATGGTTGTACACTAAGCAAAGAAAATACCACAACTCTGAAACTATACAGTCTCTATAATGATATCGTGTACCTGGTTGTGCACTAAGCAAGCCACACGTCGGAAGTAGTTGATGGGGTGCTGAGGCACAAAGTTCAGAATGAGGGTCTGGGTAGAATTGGGTTTCAGCACTCCACTTAAGTACTGGAACTTGAACACAGACTCTTCACAGTCCAACTCAAACTGAAAAAAGAAAAAACGCAAAGTTGCAACTTATTCAAAATGTTCTTTCCAAACTAACTGACAAAGACATTAGCAATAGCCCTCGTAAAAACAAAAAGCACAAGAGAGCATGTTCCTTTAACTACTCATTTTTTTTAGATTCTTGGAAACTAGTGAAAGCAAGAAACATATACAGAGACCACCTTTATATCTAGACACACATATGCACATTGTTCTAAAATATGAATAAAAATACAAAATGAAAAACAAAAATTTAACACGAAGTATGAAAAATGGCAACAAAAGTAGCCATAATTGCACAGAAAACAAAACTCGGACAAAGTAAATGGAGTATAAAGAGAAGTACAAAAGATTTTTTCATAAACTTCTTAGTGTAACACTCAGCAAGATATTGGGCATTATATTGTAAACATAAATGTTTATTCATTCAAACATTCAAATGATTTAACAGACAATTCCCTTTTATCTCCAATTACTTTATCTTATGTGAAATGCCTGCGAATGTAATGCCATCAGGGCAAACCCTTAATGCAAACTAGAGGGCTGTTGATCATAGTGGGTACAAAGGAAAGGACTGTAGATGTGCACTCTGTTGATACATAATAATATTATGTCTCTTAAAGGCCCTGTGCACACTAAGCAAATTTCAACTCATCCTAAGCCTACAAATATGAAAATGGGGCATTTTCAACAGTTTGTCTTATTTCACCGTAAGTGATGTCCCACTTTGCAGATGAGAACAGGGCAAAATTTTCCTTGTGTTGGTGGGAACTCAAGTGTTCCATACTCGATCTTTAATCTTGACTTTACTCTTCGAAATTTCAGATTGACCAGGTGTTCTGAATTATTCTGATCTATATTATATTTGCTTCACTACTGTAATTCTTTCTTAGTATAGCATCTTTCATTAATTCTCACCTGGTACACAGCTTCCAGATTGGAGTTATTGATGATGTCAATAGTCCTGGTTCCTGTACGGCCCATGTCCAGTTGCATGAAGTTGACAGAGTAGCTGCTGAGCTCTACCATGGGACCTTGAAAAACAACAACACATGGATTAGGGATACAATTTCTCCAAAGATGAGCAGATAAAACACGAATGTATACAATGTCAGGAGACAAAAGTGAGAGTGAGATAAATCTATACACAATTAACTTGGTAGTAACTGCATAGCCTCTATTTAATGATGATTCATAAGCTTTTAGCGTTATTTGTATTCTAGTTGTTCTATGCCTACGTCTGAATGAAAATAGTCTGTGTGTGTG